ATATATGTATATTTTTTTTTTTTTTTTTTTTGTTTTTCTTTTAAATAACAAAATTTTCGAAAGTATTTATTTACTCATTTCACTTAGATTTAAAATTTCATTGTTTTTTTGAAGTACAAGTAACCCAGCTATACATCCTAAATATATGATATATGTAAATTAGAAGTAATTAATATAAATATATTATTTTTTAAGGAAAAACAAAAAATAAAATAAATAAAAAGTATAACATATTTTAACTAATTTATTTTGTATTTATATAAATAGAAAAAATAAAACTAAATAATAAAAATAATATATATATATATCCTTAAATATTTTAAAAAAAAATTTTAAGGGAACCTTTTTCTGATGCATATATATTTAATGTTGATCTTGGGAAACCTAAAATGTTACAAACTTCCTAAAATTTTTTAATTATGTAATTAATGAGTATCTCTTTTTTTTTTTCTAATATTTTTATATTTTTACAATTTATTAATTTAACTTTTATGTATCTATTAGTCTGAGATTGTTCATAAAACACATTATAAAGTTTATAATAAATTTCCCGTTGTGTGCAACTTTTATCCTTTATATTAGGGTTTTAAATAATAAAAAAAAAAAAAAGATATTTTGTATAATTTAATCGATTATGAATATTAAATTATAAATGATAGAAAAATATTCAAAAATAGTAATACATATTAAGTTATGCATAAAACCTGAATGATCATGTTGTTTATTATTTCTACAACCGAGAGAGCTGATAATAAATATAAGATAAAATTATAATTAATAATAAATTAACACAATATAAAGAAAAAAATATTTATCTACTTCTGCATAATTTAACTAGTTTCTTATCAAAAAGATTACTAGAATAATTTTTATCTAAATTATTTTTAAATATATCAACATTAATATTTAACAACCAAGAAATTATGTGAAGAATGAAATCTTCAATAGCTGTAAAAATATAAATTACGTAATATATTTTTAAAAATTTAATTTTATTAAAAAAAAAGACAAAAAAGTTTTAACCCTCATAAATTTTATTTTTATCAATAACTTTATAATTCATCATTTTTGATGGATAGGGTATATTATTATGTTGTTTAATTTAAAAAAAAGAAAAAAAATTAACAAAAAAAGTTTTGATATATAAAAATTTTTAAATTTATAAAAAAAAAAAAAAGGAAAAAAAATATGAAAAAAGAAAATTAATATAACTTGATATGCTCTAAAAAATTTTAAATGTATATACAACTCTTAAGTGAAATTGAGAAAAAAAAAAAAAAAAAAAAAAAAATTAGAATTTATGTCATTATTATATTCATGTATTAATAAAGGCTTGTTTGTTTCATTATGCTCAAAAATTCTTCTTGACTAATTTCTCCATCCATATCTTTATCAAATTCATCAATCATAGCCTGCAATTCATCATCAGATAAATTCTCCCCCTATAAGTTTGAATTATAAAAAAAATGTAAAATATTTTTAAATATATTACGAAGAAATAACTAAATACAATATATATATTTTTTTTTTTTTGTAAATATCTTACTAATTCTCTAGAAACCCTTCTTAAATTTTTTAAGGAAATTTTTCCTATAAAAAAAATAAAATAAATAAATTAAAAAACTTATACATATTCAAATTAAATGTGTAATATATATTTTTTTTTCAAATAAGAATACATATAATTTTAACATAAAAAAACTTCTATAGTGCATTTTTTTATTATTATAAATTACCTGTATCATCATCATCAAATAATTTAAAAGCTTTTATTATTTCTTCTGTTGGATCTCTTTCACTAATTTTTTGGGTCACTATAAAAACAAAATATAAATATAATTAAATAATTTTTCTATATTTTAAATCATATTAAAACAATGAAAATAAACTATATCTTTTATATTTCATTAATGTAAACTTCTTTAGAATTTATTAAATTTTAATTTTTTAGAGAAAATATATTAGATTTTTTTGTAATTAATATTTCATTTTACTAATATCTAAAAAATCATTATAATCTATGTGTCCAGAATTTGATTTATCATATTCTCTCATTAATTCTATAACATCAGCTTTTTTTACATCAAAACCAAGAGCTCTTATAGCAACCTTATCAATACAAAAAAAAAAAACATAAAATAATATAAAATGTAGTTATAGTTAAAATACTTAAGAATATTCAATAAATGAAAAAATAAATATAATTTTGATAAAATAGAAAATTAAAATATTATTATAATTATATATTATCAAATTTTAAAACTAAAATTTACAAAAAAAAGCATAAACGATTTTCATATAATACAAAAAATCATTATTTTTTTTTTTTTTTTATTTTTTTAATTTCAAATAAATTTAAGAAGAAAATACAATTTAAATCATTAAAAATAAATATATAAAAATATTAAATTTAATACTTTAAGTTCATGATAATCTATTTTTCCTGTTTTTTCTGTATCGAATAAATCAAAAGCTTCCTTTATTTCATTTTTTTGTTCATCTGTTATTTCGTTTCTTCCTCTTCTTCTATTACTACTTATAGGTCTATTGGCTATTGCTCTTGGTGTAAAGTTTACACCTTCACTTTTTCTATTTATCATTAGTTTATAATAAAAATAATAAAATTAAAATGGGTATATATATGAATACATTAAATTGGAATATATGATAAAAATTAATATTTTTAAAAAATGTAAATAAAAAATATAATGTGTATTAAATAACTAAATATGACAAAAGGAAAATAATAATTAGATTTTTCACTAAAATAATATAAAAAATATATATATTATAATATATATTATTTTTAAAAAAGTTAAAGATTAATTTTACATTAATTTAAACAAGTATTATTTATTTTTATTCTTGTATGTATTATGTAATAAAAAAAAATATATATATAAACTCTTTACTAAAAAATAAAAATATAATTAATTGTTATTTTTAATAAAATACATATTTTTAAAAGTTTTTTAAATTATTTAGAATTTCATTTAATATATAATATAGCATTATAAAAAATAATAAAAATTTATTTCTAATTTTTTATATTTTAAATGAAGAAAAAAAAAAAAAAAAATGTTTTCAAAAAGATAGTTTTAAAGATACTTCACAAAAATATTCAATTTTTAATTGAACATTAATAATTAAGTAAAGATCTTTCAAATGATTTCATAATATTATAAATGTGTTTAATATATAAAAATATGAATAAAAATTACACATGTATATTTAAAGATTGTTTTATTCCTTGTAATGAAAATACTAGAAAAATAAGGAATTTCTCTTAAATAATTTGAAAATACAGTTTTTTTTTTTTAAAATACAAAGAAAATATTTCTTATATATTTATATATGTATTTTGATATTATTTATTATTATTATTATTATTATTTTTATTTTTTTTTTTTTTATTAAATTATGTTTGTTTTTTATCAGATGATATAATATAGCAAAAATAAAAAGATAGAAATATTATAATATTTTAAGATATTTCAATAAAAGAAAAAAAAATTAGATGTATATACAATTATCTCCAATGGTTCCTTTTATGTTTTTATTATATAAAATGTATTAAAATTTTCTAATATTTTAGTTTTTCTTTTAATGAATTATTTTTATAATAATAATTTTTTTTATTTTTAATAACTTATTTATACAGTTTATTTTAAAATTTTTTTTCATGAACATTTAGAAAAAAAAATAAAAATAAAAAAAAAAATGTACAAAAATTTCTGAATTATTCATAAAAAAATGAAAAAATATGCACTAATTAAAATATATAATTTTTTTATCATTTATTCTATTTCTATCTCTTTTAGTTTGTTTTATTTAATTTATAATTTATTCATTTTTAAGCCTTTATATCTTTTTTTAAAGGGCCATAATATTTAGTTTTTTCTTCACTTGTCTGGAATCTTCCATGACCAATTTTGGATGAAGTATCAATAAATTTCAATGCTACTTGTGATAGAGCTTCTCTTGAAACTTGAGGTAATAAAGTTTTTCTTAACGTGATAGGTCTTTTTTTTGTTCCAGCTACACAACCTTTTAATAAAATAAAATCTTCATTTACAACACCATAATGAGGAAATCCTCCCATTGGTGTGATTTTCTTTTCGGTTATATCAGCATCAGTTGATGCATTATTTTTATCTTTTTTTAAACCTATTCTGTAAATTTTTTTATTTCTTTCTGTTCTATGAAAATAACCTTTTTGTCCATGCCTTGGAATTTGGAATTGAACTCTTGCTGGATGCCATGCACCAATACAAGCTACCTTTCTTAATCCTCTGTGTGTTTTTCTTGGTAATCTTTTAACTCCATATCTACTAACAACACCTTTTGTTCCGTGTCCTTTTGTGACACTGATAACATCAATCATTTCATTTTCATTAAAAACTGTCGATACAGGTAAATTTTTTTCAAGTAATTCCTTTACAAATTCTATTTTTTCCTTCATAGTACCTCCATTTATTTGTATTTCCATAATATGTGCTTTTTTCATTCTTAATGGAGTTTTTGAAGGTTGTGTGTGACAGATAGCTCTTAAAACAGTGCAGTATTTTTCTATTCTTTTTAATAAACATTCTTTTGTTGATTCTGGAACATTTAAAGATTTTGTAAAGGCTTTTTTTTCTGATTTATACCAATTTTTATAATATCTTCTTCTGAATTCATCAGATACGTGATTAGCCCATACAGTACTTAAAATTCTTAAACCTTTTGGTGTTTCTCTATATCCAACTATTCCAACAACAACCATTGGTGCGCATTCAATAATAGTACATGCTTCAACAATTTCTTTTTTGTGCAATTTTGATCCAGGTTTATCTACTTCTCTTACTATATGAGTCATTCCTGCTTTATATCCCATAAATGCTGTAAAATGAGGTGGTTTTTCTTTGTCATCTTTTGGAAATGATCTTATTTTTCCTCTTAATCTTTTACATCTTTTTCTTGGCAAGAAACCTAATGAACCATGACGTGGTCTTTCAAATTTACGATGTGACATTTTTTTTTTATAATGGCGTATAAAAAAAAATTATATATTTATATAAAAATGTGATATTAAACTATGGAAGAAAATAAAATATTTTTTTAAAAAAAAAATATATGATATTATAAACTGTTATACATAATAATTACATAAAATATAAAAAAATTCCTATATAAACAATATAAAAGAATTTTATAAAAAATCAATTCACTAAAATGTTTTCAAAAAAATTATATTTACATATATGTTAAATTTTTAAATTAATAAAAAAAAAAAAAAATTAATGAAAAAATTATTAAAAAAAGGGTATATTATGAATATTTATATATAAATATAAACACATATTTTAAATTTTTATATTTGAAAATAAAAAAAAATTAATATAAATATATTAAAAAAAGAAAATGTATATATATATATAAATACATACAAATTTATCTATATATAAACTATAGTACTATATTTTATTTTAATAAAATTTTTTTGCGATTGTATATTATTTTATTCTTTGAATAATTTAAATTCATTTTTTTTTTTTTTTTTTTTTAATATCCCATTAACATAAAATAAACATATAAAACAGTACATTTAAGTATGTCAATTTAATATTTTATGAAACTATTATATATATACATATTTATAAATTTTATTTCTACTATAATATTTTTTTTTTTTTTATAACATACAAAACTCGTACATTCAAGAATATTTTCTTTTTATTGTATAACTTTTCTAGCCTTTTAGAGTCTAAAGTGCATCATTTTTTATACAGTTAAAAAAAAAAAAAAAATATTAACATTTTTATGTTGATATTTTTAAAACTTTTCATAATAAAATAAAATTAGTAAAAATATTAAATTTAATGTAAATAAATAATTTTATTTAGTGTTAAATATATATTGATGAAGAAAAAAAAATTCTACAAATTAAGAAAATAATGTAAATATGCATGAAGGTAGGTATAGTACTTGTTTAGTGATGTACATAATTTATTTTTCATACTAATATTCATAGAATTTTTTTTATTTTGGTATATATATTTTTTATTTAAATATATTAAAAAAAGAAGAAAAAATAAAAGAAAATAAATAAAATAAGGTTTTGTTTTTATTTTTATATTATTGAAAATGACAATGAATTAGATATATAGTTTATATTCAAGTTATTTATAACTTTATAGAGGCATTTGTATATTTTTATTTAAAATAATTTCATAAGCCTTTTATCCTTTTACATCTTTATTTTATCCCACCAAATTTAATAATTGACATAGAAAAATATTAATAAAATAGAAAAGACAAGAAAAAAAAAATATTTTTTCGTCATTTTTCCTATTAGTATTTATTTTATTAAATGTTTAATGTTTATTTGTTACACTCTTAGTTGAGTAATGCTTCAAATTATTTTTAAAAAATATATATATGTAATTACATAACAATATTTTCATTTTTACAAATGTGAATTATTTTTGCTTATTATACATTATAAGTAAAAAAAAAAAAAAAATGAAATTTTAATATTTCTTCAAAGTATTAATAACAGTTTATGATAAACTTGCAATGAACTAGAATATTTTATAAACATTTTTTTGTCAACTTTATATTTTTTTGTAGCAAATTATTATTATTTTTCATTTAACAAAATTTTTGTAAAGAGTTCTTACAAATTTATTATTTTTACATTTTTATTAAAAAAAAAAAAAAGAAAAAAAACAAAAGTGTATTTACACATAAAGGTTATTTTGTTTATTATGAATTTTTAATAAATATGAGCAGAATTGTTATTATCATTTTTATATCTAAATGGTTTCTTCTAAATTAAGTAGAAAATATAAATGAAATAAAATAAATGAATTTTTTTTTTTTTTTTTTTGTCCTAATAACTTAGTTTAATAAATGAATATCATTAGAAAATTTTTTTAATTATTCTTGTTTAATTATTTTTATCATATATATAGATATATTTGTAAAACTATATGTTAAAAAAAAATGAAGGAAATTAATAAATCTGAAAGAGATATAAGGCAATTATTGCCAGTTATGGTAATCTCTTAAAATTCAATAATTCTAAAAAAAACTAATTTTTTTTTTTTTATCCTTTTCATTTTGTATTATTTTCTTTAAATATCATTTAGTTGATAGGTTTTGTTACCATAGTTATGTATACAATATTTGTTACAGTAAATGATATATTAAAAAAAAAAAAACCAAAAAATGAAAATATTAGAAAAAATCTATAAATTAATAGATACTATTTTAGAATTATAATTTCTTTATGATATATATACATATTTTAATTAAACAACAATAATATGTTAGTTTTATTGTATGGTTTTATTGCAAATTAACGTCGAAAAACAATATGTTGACAACAATCTATTAAAAGAAGGATATACTAAATTAATAACTTGTATATATTTACATATATTATTTTAATAATAATAATTTGTAATGATTTTCTTTCTTTTTTTAAAAGTTCATATTTTACTATTTTTACTAATTTGGTCATTCTATAAAACATGTAGAGTAGACCCTGGCACAATTCCTGGTATTTATTAAAAAAAAAGTTGTTACATATTAAAATATTTATTAAATAAAAATGACTTTTTTTTTTTAATAGATACACATGAATGGCTAGTTGAACCAGATGTTAATAGGATAAATGAGAGAGAACAAACAGGTTAAATAACTTTGTGAATTACATAAAAAGTTAAAATGCTATTAATAATAATTATAGAATACTATATTTTTATAATTTTATTTTTTTTTTATTAGGTGAACTTCGTTTTTGTATACATGAGCAGAAATATAAACCTGACAGAGCTCATTATTGCAGGTTATGTACATTATTTTATTTTATGTTAATATTTAAAACAATAAAAAAAAAAAAAAATATAAATATCATTTTTTTAGAGCAATAAAAAAAAATGTGTTAAAAATGGATCACTATTGTCCATGGGTAATGAAAAAAAATTTTTTTTTTTCTAACAGAAGAAAAATTTTCTCTAATGATATATGATATATTTGATTTTATAATTTATAAAAAGAATTATAGTTATTAAAGATACGTGATCATTTTTAAATACATGGAATTATTTTAACCTTTTCATTAATTTTAATATTATTATATCTATTGAATATTATGAACAAATTATGCAGGTTGCAAATTGTGTTGGTTTTTACAATTATAAATTTTTTTTATTAAGTTTGTTTTATGCTAACTTATGTTGCTTTTATGTTGAGATAAATTGCCACTCATCATTTCCCGATTTTAATTCAAATCCAAATGTTCTATTTAATGAAGTTTTTTATTTGTTCTTAGAGATTGTATTAACTAGCGTTATTTTATTGTAATTTTTTTATTTAATTTTTAAGTAGTTTATACACATATACACACATATATATATATATATATATATAATATATTCATACAAACACATATATTTTTTTTTTTTTTTTTTTTATTAACAGAATAATATTTCCTTTTTTTTTATTTCATTTATACCTCACCTCAAAGAATTATACAACCCTTGAATTTTGTGTTGTAAGAAAAATTTTTCTTTTTATATGAATAATATTTATCACCTTATAAATGTACATAAATTTATAAAATAAAATGTTTGGTTATTAGATTGGTCAGAAAAATAAAAAAAATATTTATGATTTGGAAATTGAAGAAAATTTTAAACAAGTTTTAGTAAGAATTTGATAATATACATTATATATTATACATATATATTTAATCTTAAACATATTTTATATATATACTAATTTTTATTGATATTTTTTTATTAATTTTTCTTTTTTTTTTCTTTAGGGAGACAACATTTTATTTTGGTTTTTACCTGTTGGAAAACCAAAAGGAGATGGGCTGTTCTTTAAAACTACTTAACTTGGTAACAAATTTATAAAAAAAATTTAGTAATTTAAAATATATACAAAATTAAACTACATTTCTATGAACTAATAAAAAGAAGAAAATATAACTATATATATATATATGTTCACTTTAATATATTTTAAGTTATATTTAATTATGTGTATATATAATGTTCTTTTTTACAGTTAATACAGATATAGTTATATAAATATATTTAAATAGATAAAAGTGATTGATAAATATATATTTATATATATTATTATTTATTTGTATATTTGTATATTTGTATATTTATTTATTTTTTTTTTTTTTTTTTTTTTTTTTTTTTTTTTTTTTTTTTTTTTTTTTTTTTTTTTTTTTTTTTTTTT